CCTCTAAGGATAGAACTAGAAGCAATGGGTTTAAACTGCAGCAAGGGAGGTCTAGGTTGGACATTAGGAAAAAGTTCCTAACTGTCAGGGTGGTTAAACACTGGAATAAATTGCCTAGGGAGGTTGTGGAATCTCCCTCTCTGGAGATATTTAAGAGTAGGTTAGATAAATGTCTATCAGGGATTGTCTAGACGGTATTTGGTCCTGCCATGCGGGCAGGGGACTGGACTCGATGACCTCTCGAGGTCCCTTCCAGTCCTAGAATCTATGAATCTATGAATTTATTTATTCAGCTTTGACATTGTCCTTGGTGCTGTACAGCACATAAAAATCTGTTTAGATATTGCTGCTAGATCACAGCAATGTGGCCTAGTATTTGAAGGCTTAATGAAAGGAGTGGGTTTTCATAAGGGATTTAAAAGAAGAGAGAATTGCAGCATGGCACACTGGGATAGGCAAGTAATTATTTGCTTTGAATTATTCCTAATTTACAAGGGAAAAAACACATGATTACTGGATTTTAGGATTACTTTGGTGTATTAAGGTACGTTGCAGCACAACATGTAAAATAGTCATTTAAAACCCTTTTTAGGCAAAGCACTTAAGGATGTGTTCAGCTTTAAGCAGTAAGTAGTCCCATTAACTTCATAGTATTCCTTTGGTTGATATAAAATGGAAAGATGTTGGCAGCCTCACAGTTAACTGTGCTTTTGTGAAATGGAAAAATGTGGAAGTTAATTTAAAAGACCACTTTTAAATAACATTGGAGACCAAACATAATTGCTGTATACTTAGAGCTTTGGCTTTCATTGAAAGGGATCCAAACGTGCTACTTTCTACAACAGAGGCAAATAAGGGGGTTTCACAATCGATACATATGTCTGTGGCAAGATAGCTAAGGAAATGATAAACAATGAAAGGAGCATGTAAGTAATTTAGACTCGAGATTTGACTTGCCTTAAACTTATTATAAATTAGGAAATATCTTCTGGATCTGATAGGTCTCTTTTTAATAAATAAATAAATAAATAAATAAATAAATAAAATTACCTATCTATTCCGGAGATATTTGAAAGATTTCAAACAAAATCCACACTTCGAATATGGCAAGTTTTTATGGCATTATTTACACAAAAATAATACCATAAAAACTTCTTTTGACTTTGTTGTTTCAGTTATCTAATGAACACTATTCACAAAGATGGCATCACCCATCATGCTGGTGCTTAAACAAGACAGTAAGTCAAAAAGTAAAATAAGAAAGCCATAATAATTGCAGCTCCATGAGAAACACAAAAAAAGAAAAAATAATCAGTGTTTTCTAGATGAAGAAAGGAAAACAAGTATAGGGAAAGAAGCTATTTTCAAGTTCTTAAGCCGTCAATTGAGAGAGAGTAAAATAAGAATTTTTAAAGTATTAAGCTGTTGGCAGTGTATTCAGTTGGATAACAGTATTAGAATACTTTTTCTTATCAGCCTTTGGACTTATGAGCAATTTTGCAGAAAGTCTTCAATTATTACATATTCAATTTCAGTTTTCAGTGAATTAATGTTAATAAGCTATATTTGCAATAAAAATAGGGAAGTGGTAGATGTGGTGGTCTTAACTTTAGTAAGGGTTTTGATATGGTCTCGCATGACCATCTCATAAACAAATTAGGGAAATAGAATTTAGATGGAGCTACTATCAGGTGAGTGCATAACTGGTGAAAACAGTTCCCAGAGAGTAGTTATCAGTGGTTCACAGTCAAGCTGGAAGGGGATATCAAGTGGGGTCCTGCAGGGATCAGTTCTTGATTCAGTTCTGTTCAATATCTTTATTAATGATTTAGATAATGGCATAGAGAGTACACTTATAAAGTTTGCAGATGATACCAAGCTGGGAGGGGTTGCAAGTGCTATGGAGGATAGGATTAAAATTCAAAATGATCTGGACAAACTGGAGAAATGGTCTTAAGTAAATAGGATGAAATTCAATAAGGACAAATGCAAAGTACTCCACTTAGGAAGGAACAATCAGCTGCACACATACAAAATTGGAAATGAGTGCCTAGGAAGGAGTACTACAGAAAGGGATCTGGGAGTCATAGTGGATCACAAGCTAAATAGGAGTCAAAAGTGTAATACTGTCACAAAAAAAAGAAAACATCATTCTAGGATGTATTAGCAGGAGTGTTGTAAGCAAGACACAAGTAGTACTTCTTCTGCTCTACTCAGCGCTGGTTAGGCTTCAACTGGAGTGTTGTGTCCAGTTCTGGGTGCCACATTTCAGGAAAGATGTGGACAAACTGGAGAAAATCCAGAGAAGAGCAACAAAAATGATTAAAGGTCTAGAAAACATGACCTATAGAGAAGATTGAAAAAACTGGGTTTGTTTAGTCTGGAGAAGAGAAGATTGAGAGGGGACATGTAATGGTTTTCAAGTATATAGAAGGTTGTTACAAGGAGGGGGGAGAAAAATTATTCTCCTTAACCTCTGAGGATAGGACAAGCTGCAATTTCAGCCCATTGCTTCAAGGACGGTTTAGGTTGGACATTAGGAAAAACTTCCTGTCCAGAATAAACTGCCTAAGGAGGTTGTGGAATGGAGATTTTTAAGAGCAGGTTAGACAAACACCTGTCAGGGATGGTCTAGATAACACTTAGTCCTGCCATGAGCGCAGGAGACTGGACTAGATGACCTCTTGAGTCTCTTCAAGTCCTACAATTTTATGATTCTATAACAAGAGTTTGGCTCAAACTCAAAGGATCTAGATCTGAATTCATAGACCAAATTCTACTCAATCAGTTAAACAGCTATGGATTTAAATCAGCGTAACTGACAG